AACTATATGTGACTGCAGTTGGGACGAGAATGGGTTGCGAACAGAGGAAGATGATTAACTCTGGATTCGGTTATTAGAGCATTTTACAACTCTTAGGACCTAATGGTGTAAGTAAAGATTTACCTAAAAAAAATCAATGAAAAAAATATCATCTGCTGATTTACAGACATCTCTTTCCCAATGTCAATTTATGGGAAAAAAAAGCATTTTTGGGTTTCATGGCATCACATGACACACCCAGAAAGTTTTATTCCACCATTTGGCCACTATCTGAAATTGGCTTCAAAGCCCGGTGGTCTTCATGGGGGCTTAGGCTCATAGAGCAAGCGCACTAGCGAGACGCCTCCAAATTGCTCGATCTCTGCTCTCTCACATTAACGGCGTTTTTTTATGCCGAGGAAAATAGGCCTGTATTCGGCTATTAGTGAATTATACAACTTCAATTTATCATTAAAGTAAGTATTGTCCACTAAATTGTGGACAGGCGAGCTAACTAGGGAGCAACTGTGGAGAGGAAGCCAGCATTAATTATTCCATGCCACCTTGCTACCAAGCTAGTTAGCTATCAATCTACCAGAGTCAGGAATGTCAAATCATCAATCAATCATTGAAATAAAACACTTAATTGATCTCTCAACTGTGAAAGTGTATGATAACTACATTAACTCATTCATACGCCATGTTTTCATGTTTCATTATGTTCTTCAAACTTGTGGAGTATTTACATTTTCATCTATCGCACACCACAATGCAGTCATACCACATGCTCATATTCACAGTCGGGGGAATCGATACCACTTCACCCAGTAGCACCAGTGTGTCTCTCAATGTGCCCTGAAATAGGGTGTTGCTGGGGTGTCAGAGGATCACACCCCTGTATGCTTCCCACCTGCTCCAAAACCCACCCTATACGCTCTCATGTTGTAGCCACACACACTTTCTCACACACATGCATGCACCCACCCAGTCGGAGTACCCCTAGACAAAGAGCACAATGCACAAAGGTGATGTAGTGACAGATGCTCCTGTCACATACTTAGCATATCTCCACCTCCAAAATAGTGCAAGCGCAGAAGCCGGTCTGACTCTCTCACTCCACGGAAATCGGTGCTGCTATTCATAACTCATTAATTTCCCCGACGGATAAAAGCAGCTCTTAAACCACAATCCTTCACCCAATATTTATCCAATCTGACCAAATATAATAATTAATGCCTCTTTCTCTCCCCTCTCCTTCAGGCCAATATATTCCCCCTCTTCTTCCTCCCTCCCTCCCTCTCTAACCTCTCAGTGCCAAGTTCACAGATAGAGAGAAAGTACTTCCTGTGAGAGGCCGGGCCGCCTGCCAGAGAGACTGATCCACCAATCTGACACGTTAATGAGATCCTGGCCCACAGTACTGGAGTGTCAGGTCTCCTCTGCTGCAGCAGCAGCCCTGCCGTGACCTGCAACACACACCCAACCCACACGTGCAAACACACGTCTTTACTCATATGTGTAATTCTTTCACACATGCACCCACACGCACAGAAATATAAGCATAAATGAATACGAGTGAGTCCCTCTCCACACACACACACACGCACACACACACACACACAAACACACTTTGAGACGGGGAGGGTTCAGCTCCTTAAATCTGTCTAATTAAAACACCAAATCCCTCTACTCCCCTCACCCACCAACCCAATCCTCACTTCACAGCCACACACACACATACTCGCACCCCCCCACACCCCACAGACCCCCCTCCATCCCCACTGCCACCACCCCCGATTCCGCAGGAGAAATGATTATTAGGAATTTAATGGGGGAACGTTTCCCATCCCACACCATCTGGGGCTGGGGAATGGCACAAAATTTGAGGATGCTTGCCGACGTGGCGGTTGAACATTATTTTCATTTTTTCTTGACTGGTGCTCAGATTTCCAGACATTGCAGGAAAAACGCTCCTGATTACAATGAATTACCATAATATATTACAAAATAAAATGCATATATGAAAATGCATTTGTGTTTGTTTGTTTTCTTGTGTTACAGGTGAATGCATGAAACTTTTCTCAACTTCTGAGGTGATTCCTGTTCTTCTGCAACTTATTCCGATAGAAACACAATGTTTGTTTTGCAGTAATTGCGATACCACATCTCAGATTGCAAATTCACCTCTATACGATATACATCCCCCATTCCTGTCCTTCACCTCCCACACAGAGCCGGGCCATATGCTCTCTCTCTCTCTCTCTCTCTCTCTCTCTCTCTCTCTCTCTCTCTCCCTATACTTCTTTCTCCCCCTCTCTCACTCTCCACACAGCTTAATGAGCTGCATGAATGTAAGGGTACGTGTACACGTTTGACCCCGTCCTAAACTGCTGCACGCCACCCCGTGATTCCTGTGGGTGTGACCCCCCCCCCCCCCCCTTCCTCCTCCTCACCCTCGTCAGCCTCTCTCTGAGTCCCCAAGAGGGATTTGAATCTCTTCTGACAAGCACACACATGCATACTCATATTCTCAAACACACACACACACACACACACACACACACACACACACACACACACATAGCCTGCTAGAAAAAGCAGTCAGACTGATATGGTGAGAATTTCAGTGAATGGGATAAATAAGGCCTGTGATGAAGGATGGGGAGCTAAAGAGTTGCTGTTAGGGCCCCCAAGGGACCTCCAGTAACCCGGTCCTCCAGTTTTATGATGATACAGTAGGACAAAAGGATGAGTGAGGGAATGAAGACGGAAAAAAAAGCTTTTTTTGATAGAAAATTTATAAAACTCAATGTTTGTTATTTTCTTCTGCGAGTTGAATTTGTGATTTCAAAGATTCATCTTGACTGCTGGAAAAACAGTTCCCCAAGAGCAGCATGGATGTCTTAATCAAGTCCAAACCCAGTTTGAAATGCTTTAGAGAAATGCAGTTTACGTGGTATTCTGGTTTGGGATCTCTAGAACGGATTCATTCTTCCCACGAGAAGCTTCATTAGGCTTACTTTGTTTTTCCTGATTTTGCTTTTGTTGTTGCTTTTTTAACTCTCCACAAATAACTTTGTTCAAATATTTGCAAAGATTTTATCTTAATGTCATGTTTATCTGTAAAAACAAATATGACTGTGAGATCTCTCGTTAGATTAGCCTACAGTATGATGGCCGTGAATTATTATTTTCTCTATACAGAAACAAGACTTTGTGATGATTTGCCATTCAACTTCCACGTAATTGAATACATGTTGAAATAGGTTAACTTATCTTCATGCATGCTTACGTTTCTTCCTAATTGGCTTGACAGGACTTTGAAAATATTGTTCTTTATCTTTTCAAAGTGTCAAACTGCATACATGTGTTTGTGTCCTTCCTGTCTCTAAAGTCACCCACAGGCCTTCTCAAACTCAGTTATCTGATTTCCCCATGCGATCACATCATTCTCATACTATTGGTCCCTAAAATCACATTTATATAAAATTTCAAAAAGTCAGCCATCCTTCATTAGACAGGTGGTGAAAGTTAAGATTGTTTATGTCCTTTGGTTTTTTTGTTTGTTTTGTTGTTAACTTTAATTTCATTTGTATACAAGTGACTATATCAACTATTAGAACATGTAAAGTCACAGCCGAAGCTTGAGTTTTCTTTAAGCATTGCTTTATATGAACATCATTTTGCTCCTGTGTTGATTTATAATTCATTCATGAATTTGAATTGGACTTGGATAAAAGTTGCTACCTGATAACAAAATGTTTAAATGATCAGTATCTGTCTGTGTGTGTGTGTGTGTGTGTGTGTGTGTGTGTGTGTGTGTGTGTGTTTGGCCGCATGCAGTGAATGCAGTGAACGTTGCGCACTAACTCTTTTTGTACGCTTTTAGTCTGGATCAAAGATGGATTTAGCTATTTTCACTGGGTTTTAAATGATACATGAAGGGGGAATCAATATTTTAAAAAGTGAAAGTAAAAACATAATCCAAGCAACGAAAGAATAAACCAGTCCATCCACCCGGTGATCATCAACACGGTTAACCCATATCAATTTCATTTTTCACATAATTTCATTTACATCGGTTTGATCTTTCTTTCACTGGTATATGGATTTACCTTTATACGGTTAGTAAAATCGCCAGTGAACTAAAAAATGACAGATGCGTATACATTAATTTTATTCTGCATGTCTAGAATCATATCTTTATGTTATCATAAACATCTTTATGATAAAGAGCAGGAACGCAAAGTCAACGGGATTTAAAAAAATGAACTTTTCTTTTTGTCCATTTGGAGAGTGGGACCACCATCAACAGAAGGCGCTGCATCTTCAGGGAATACCAGTTCCACGTCTTTCCTGACTGGGAGGACTGGGATCTCTGGCTGACATCCAATACCTCGTGGGCATATTTGTCACATCAGCCATCTGATCGACTGAAATTAAATCAAATTATATCGACAAGCCTTTTTCACATAAATAATAATAACTCTGCGTTAGATTTGCGTAACGTTTTACAGATATCTAACTTTAACTGTTGGGTTAAAAATCCCACTTTAAGTGAAACTACAACATTTGTGTTAGTAAAGAAAATCATTTAGAAAATACATTTCGTACGGTCTGAACTAAATACATAAGAGTCTTCGCATCTTATGTTGCTATTATACAAAAGGCCTCAAATACGTAACCTCATTTGTCCGCCAAAACTCATAGGTTGTATAAGATTATTAACATGTAAAAAATAAAACGAATAATAATAAATAAATAAAATTACGCCCGGGGCTTGATTCATTAATCTAACTTTTTTTTTTTAATCGCCGTCTGCTGTCGATCATTTTCACAGAGAGCCGAGAAGCTGCAACATAAGTCTCTGACAGCCTCTTAGTTTTATTGCGACAAACACATCACAAAACATTAACACATTACTTCACGAATATTTCGATCCATAACGAGTTTTCAGGAGTGTGCGTGGACGTGTATAAGCATGTGTGTGTGGTTATGTGTGCGTGCGCGTGTGTGAGAGAGAGAGAGAGAGAGAGAGAGAGAGAGAGAGAGAGAGAAATAAAATATAAAGAATATTATCCAAAAATCATTCATCATTCGGGTAAAGTTACAAAATCAACAGAATTTATGAGTACAGTCACCAACATTGTGCAGAAATACTTGAAGTGCATCACAGCTGCTCTTCAGCAGGAACAAGAACGTGTAAAAAGTTCACATCAAACTATCCAAAACTGTCATTTCGTTGCATATCGATGGTCATTGTCTATTTTTTAAGGCATGTTGTTCGGATTCATGAAACACTTTGTTCACCTCACACGAAATGATTTCCCTTCTAGCTGCAGTGAAATACACAACAATGCAACATAAACCAATTTCAAATGTATGGAAGTTCACATAAAACGGTAACATTTTAGAATTTTACATCATTTAATAATATATTATCCACATTCAAATTGACGGACTTATCATAAATAAGCTTAAAGAAATAAATACAATAATTTACATTCACCTCGTTACCACACTATTTACTTCACATACAAATGCGTTTAGTATTTTTTTTTTCTCCAAAACCTCCTGTATTTATAGGACCAGTTCAGATGACATCCTCATCATCAGGTCTCCTGAACACGTGCACGTCTCCAAACTGGCTTTTTAAAAATAATTAATTTGTGTAATTGTTTTGATTAGATATTAGATTATGAGAAATGCCTTGAGTGGAAATAGACATATTTCATTTTTATAAGCAAAGATTGCATTTGGCTGCCTTGCATAGCTCAATTGACCTTTATTGCTAACAGACTGAATGTCTGGACTCCAATCATGTCTCAGCAAACTTCCCTGATGAGGCGAAACGTCTTTAGATTGTTCTTCCCCGGTAGCTGATTTTATTTCTCCACGAAAATCATTTCACTGACTGCTGTGAACCTGATTAAATAAGCAGAAAAATCTAATTTATTATTCACTGTATCACTTTTAAATAACCCATGTCATGACCGACATCTGCAGCGCAGCCATTAACAAAAAAATACACTGTAACTTTAAACAATTTGCTCAAAACCTGCATCTTTAACGAATTACTCTTAATATGTGGTTTCCCACTAGAAACACCAATGTGACAGTGAGCCATTTAATCTTAGTTTTCTTTAAATTACTCAGATTGAAATCATCGTATTTGTTTCCAAAACAAAGGCGTTCTTGTGTTTTTTTTTCTTTACACAGATTTGAGAACAAGTGAAATCATTATATATAGTTTGCAGATTTAAACACGTTTCAAAGAAAAACCAGACTGAACATTCAACACAAAATGACTAGTTAAAATGGGCATTCTTTGCAGTGCATCAGCGTGTCTGGAGTCCATTTCGTTCCACTCTCGACATCTGCGGGGGGAAATTGCATCGCTTCTACAACTTGAACTTTGTCCAGCTGATTGATTAGTTGTGGAAAGAGCCATTAACTTCCCCTTGTGCTTGGAAGGACTGGCTGCGGACGTGCAGATCGTAGGGGAAACGGCCCTCTGGGGAGACTCGGTACATGGAGTTGTGCGCAAGAGCCGTGCGCCCTGGCGCACTGCAGTAGCGCATGCCATAGTGGCTGCCTTTGCTGTAGTCTGGCGGATCTTCGTGTTTTAGGGAGAAAATCCCGTTAAAGTTCATCGGGGGGCTCAACTGGCCGTCGAAATGCGGACTCCCGCCCTCTGGGGACGGGTTCTCGTAGTAGGGCTCGTACGCGCCGCTGTAGCTGTAGTGTCTGAACGGCTTGGCGCTGCTCTCCAAGGTGCTCCCGCTGTGGCCGGGGGGCGTGTTCACGTCTGAGCCGGGGTACGAGTACATGGCATCGTAGGGCGATCTTCCAGAGAACATGACCTCCCCGTTGTGGTCTGTGAGGAAATTCCTCGCGTTCAGCTGCAAACAACCGGCCACCAAGTTGGTCGTGGGCTGAGATAATCCTTTGCACAAAGTCTGTACGAAGGCGAGGAGGTCTGGTCTCTTCCCTGCGCTCAGAGTCTCTGACAGGGCCCAGATGTAATTTTTAGCCAGTCTGAGGGTCTCAATCTTGGACAGTTTTTGAGTTTTTGAGTAGCACGGCACAACTTTGCGCAGGCTCTCCAACGCGTCATTCAAGCCGTGCATCCGGCTGCGCTCTCGGGAGTTCGCTTCATGGCGCCGTACTTTGGACCTGTCCGTCTCCGGCTTGCCGGACCTCTTTTTTCGCGGGCCCCGCTTTTTAGGAAGCCCGTTGTCATCCTGGTCACCCTCCCTTTCGTCCTCCTCTCTGTCGGAGATGTCGTCCTCGGCCTCCCTCATGTCTGAGTTGGAGCTGTCTGCGTCGTGTTTTCGCTGCTCCTCCAGACTCTCAGGTAAGCCTTCACGGGGATAATTGGCACCAAACCGCGGCTCACACATCACATGAGGTTCCTCGAATGGCAGTGTCAACATATTTCCTGTCAAATGAAAGCCAAAACATAAACTATGAGGACAGGGAACTACGGCGACGTCTTTTGAAGGTTGTCAGTTAATTACCTTGTGAATGGGTCCTCCCAAGAGGAAGAGGGGCAAATTGGCAAGCAAGGCCAATGTCATAGCTTGCTACCTTTTCAAAGACACTCAACTTCATTGTCTTTGGACTTAAGTAGGAAAAAGCCACCTTGTTTTAAGCCTAATCACATGATGTTTGGTGATGATACGTGATAAAAGCCTATTTGTATTTTTTTTTTGCCAAAGCGTTGCACAAAAACAACATTTCAATCAATCAAACACAAACTCTTAAAGTCAACAAATGAATAAGTAAAATCGCCTAACAATAATGCCGATAAGCTACTAACCTCAGGTCAGCGTGCACCTTGCATGTTCCCAAATAGCTCCTCTGAATCTGTGATGCAGCTTCTTCTTCTGGAAAACCACAAATTAAAGGAAAAAAGCTGAAACCATGCGCACTCTCCTTTCCTCTGACTTGCTGTGTTGTGCTCTTCCTCTTCTCTCCTCCTCTCTCTCTCTCACTCCCTCTCTCTCCCTCTCTTTCCCTTCCCTCTCTCTTTGAGGAATGACACTCATGCCAACAGCGGGTACCCATGCCATCTGCCGCTGACGTCTTGTGGCAGCCGAGACCACGTGCTCAGTGTCCCACGGGACCTCCATTCCGTACCGATCATCTGGCAGCTCGGGTAATGGGCACCGGGAGGCCCGCGTTTACCGTCAAAAACACAAACTGGATAGGGATAACAACTAATATCTGCATCTCCTCGTGTAAGAAAGATGAATTAATGTATTTTTGTCTGGAAAAAAGAGAAGACAAGGGATGTGCGAGTTTGCAGGCATCCTCAACAGGTTTGATAGATAGAGATAGATAGATAGATAGACTCACTTTTGACTTTGTATGTATTTTGGTCCTATTTTGTTCAAGAATTTGCACAAACAAATCTAGGAATGTAAAAGATGTATAACATAAGTACACAGTCTGGAAAGGTCTTGTATAAAGACCTGCCCTACAACCCCAAAAAGAAGATAATTCAATGACATTCAGTGAAACCAATTATGAATGTATTTCAGACAGGAGGTGCAAATAAGGAAAACAAAAGACACGTTATGTCAAAAAAAGATTAAAATTACATAGAGACATACGGTTAACTTGAATGTTCTGTTTGGGGTCCTCTTGCTCATATGATTTGGAACTGATGACTAGTTCCTGCTGTTGGGTCTCCAACCACATCTATAAAACAAGGATGGACTCGTCGTACTTTATATGCAGCACTAACTATTCCCAAATCCCACAATTGTAACAGTTTATTCATAAAAGGTCAAACAGGAAGTTAGACCTCTCTGGGGTTTAACTGACCCCCACACAAGTAAAGTCAAAATGAATATCATTTTGACTTTCGGGATAACATTCTGCACATTTCTCTGTCCACTGATGACTTTTATTTGCAAACAAAATGATTGTATGTATTCGTTCTTTCACAGCACATTTTGTCATCATCAGCCCAGTTTGTGGCAAAGGGAGGGGTCTGCAGCTCAATGCTTTTCTATACATATTAGACCATAGTATCCTCATTTCAGCAAATGTCCATAAACAGCATTTGTTTAAATGACAAAGCCCTGCAGCTGTCTGAGTAATGTTTTTTACTTTAACTGAGTACTTATTCTAACCCAAACCACGATCTCTTCCCTAATAAAGTCGTTTTCTTGCTTAAACCTAACCAAACCTTAAACCTAGCCTTGGCGCATAATAAAGCTGGGATAGTTTGTAACCGTTTTGTCAGGCACGGACAGTAGATGTTGTTGTGCTGATGCTTCAGATCAGAAAACACTTCTTTGTGTTGTTCTGGAGGCAGTAACAAACAACATATTTTTGTTGTTTTATTTGGGGGACTTGAGGTGTAAGGTCAGACGAAAAGTACTGTAGTACTGTATGTGGTATGTTACGTTAAAATTGTATTTTTAATTATTTAGTCATCTGCAGATTATTTTCTCGATTTATGGTTTGGTCTAAAAAAATTTTTTTAAATGATGAAAAATGCTTGCCACAGTCACAGTTCCTCATCGTCAAATGATTTGTTTTGAACAACTGACAGTACGAAACCTAAAAATATTCAGATTATAAGAGAGAAAATCGGTGCATCCTTATTTTAGAGTTGCTGCAAACAATATATTATTCATATCGAATTTAGCATTTTTTGCTTTACAAAATCATTATCAAAATAGTTGATGTTCATTTTCTAATCGATCGTCTGATCGACTAACCAATGCAGCGCAACATCAAAATTCCAGCAGCCTCCTCACATGCAGAGGATGGTGCGATACCAGGGGGGCGTGCACAGTGCTGGTACCTCAGGACCGTAGACATTAAGTACACCCCGTGGAAAAGGCCCAGTGGCACGCTGCCAAATCCACACTGGGGCACAGCTGGCACTCGATATGGGTATATGCACTCCTCAGTTATGTGTAACACACAAACACACACACACAAAAGAGCACACACAAAATGTATGCCTGTGAATGACCTTGTTGCAAGGAGAATCAATTAGAGCGACTTATCAGTCTCTGTGTATTGGACATTTTAAGACACCGACTGGCAGTACGAGCCCAGCGGCAGAGTGCTGCGGCGTTGACGACACCTTGGTGTGAGTTCAGAGCACGAAAGACCACGTGAAGGTAGTGGGTGACAACAAAAGCATGTGTACACACACACACACTGGTGACTGTGCATTCACTTGACCCCAATGCGTGTGAGACAGAGCACCAAACATGTGTTCACACAGATATGCAGGTAGTATGTGTGAGCGTGCATGTGGACAAACACCTACTCTACACGAGCACACCCAAACTAAAACAGTCTCTTTATAACAGCCTTCCCCCCCAAAATGCCTCAGCTGGTCTTCTGATCGTTCTGGTCCAGCGCGCACATACACACACACACACACACACACACACACACACACACACACACACACACAGCAGCATCTGATGAGTCAAACTCCCCATCTCAGACTAATCAGTTGACTGCACTAATTGCAAATGCAAATATGCAAATTTATATTAATTAATTACTCCACTAATTAGTTCTCTTGTCTTTTCAGGTAATAAATCATGGTGTGGTTGAGAGGGAAAGAGAGAGACATGGCAGTGATCTTTTGTCTGCCAGAAATCCTTGTTTCAGGTCTGAAGCTGATCTTGTGATATGTTTAGGACGGTTTTCACTGAAAACTGTCGTCCACTGAGACTCCTTAACTTTTTTTTTTTTTTCTCACAACAATCCTAACCTAGTTAATTATTAGAATCGATGTTTTACGTGTCATACTTCAAGGTTGGAAGCATTGTAATTTGAGAGGTAAAGCAAATAGCAGAGGTTGGTAAATCAGTGTGTCTCGCTGACAGTTCTTGCCTGTCAGCTCTTTTAATTATCACATTATCAGCTTTTATAGGCACGGTGCATGGTGTAGAGCTGCAAATGAAGGCACCGCTGATCGCATGCTGAGTCGCAAGCGTTTTTCAATTGATGTCAGCAGATAAAGGGAGTTTGTTTTCTGGAGAATGAGTGCGAGCCGGTGAAGTGGTTGAGGATGTGGTGATACAACGTGAATCCATCCAAAATCTAATTGACTGCATTACTATTAATAGATCATTTCTTTAGTGAAACCCTGTGAGGCAGAAGAACACTCCAAACTGAGCCCCAAAGGCCAAGCATGTATTTTTTTTGAAATCCCGACACTGACTCTGTAATTAGCCTTTTACTGTTAATTTCCAGTTGCTCAGCGATCTAACAACTCTCACTATTTATTTTGCATCGAGGTGCATGTACAAATTACTAACGCTCAATAAGGAAATGCTTAAATACAAGTGCAAGAAATTTATTTTGAGTTACTTGTTGATAGCTAATACCAAGATGAATACCTCGGTTGCTGCTGTTAAATCATGTTCTCACCCAGTAAATCTGATGTTGATGAATTTTTTTACTGTCTTTGTTTATTTTAGAATGCTCCCAAATCTATGATGTGCTACTTTGCAGCACCTCAAGTGTGTCTAGTCTTTTTCTTTATTTGTGGGGATCTGTCAAAGAAGGCAGAAAAAACAACAAGAACGCAGGCAATGATGCTGTAGTCAAGACCAATTTAATTGAGTCCAAGACGACTCAAAGACACGGTTCAGTCAAGTCCGAGTCAAGACCATAATAGGGAATAGTGTCCTTCCAATGTTAATACAGTGATTAAGGAGTTAGGATGTACAGAAATAATAGCTATAACCAATATTGAACCATCTTCTAACGTCAAACTAATCATTGCATAGAATTTAGGTTTAAGAACCATTACAGGTTTTGACAGATCCATTAAGGAAGAGGTGGAGGTTTGTTTTTTTCATGCATTGTGTTGGTAGAATCAGGCAACATGTTATACGACTGATCCTAAATCAGCAGCCAGAAACAACTTGACCAGTTGTCTGTAGCACGCCTGAGATCAAGACAATTCAGAGTCCATCAATGCATGAGACCAAAACAAGTGCTAGACTTTAAAAGAAGTAGTCTCGAACTCCAGTACTACAGCTGTGGTTGTTATACTGTACGGGAGTCCCAGGTGGTCTGTGGATTGTGGATATAAAAACTCCAGGTTTAGGTAGCGATTGCGGCTTTGGATAGATTTGAATAATTAACATGTACGTCACTGTTTACTAAGTCATTTGGGTGTCTAAACACAAAGGTAAAAGGCGATGTCATCACCTAACTGTTAGTTGCTACAGGCAGATATTGGGTTGCTATTAGCAAATATAGTCAGTGAATGTTTTCTTGATACGGTCAATAAGAACATTTTGAGATTTGGCAGATGAGTTGGTTAAAAACATGTCCTTTTGTTGATCAACCCTGTCTATGATACATTGTTTACCCAATTACGTTGTGGATACAGACGTAATTGCTGGCTGAATTATGTTCAGAGACGTCATCTTTTTTTTTTAGCGAATGAAGGGATTTATGTACGGCACAGGAGACGCATAGAAGTATTCATTACTAACAACATTTCTCCATCATGTTTAAAAAAAAACGTATATGCTGTAACATCTATAGAAGACAGAGTTGTAAAAAACATAGTTTGGGCGGCAGAATATTCCCTCTGAACATATTCACTGCTGCAAATTATAGGACACATAATGTACTTTCAAGCAGACAGGGTTGCTTTAACAGGCCAGCCAATGATCAAACACACTGCATAAAAGAGCATAAACAATATCCAATTAAAACGCACATTCAGGTATTTTAATTGTCAAAAAACATCTATATTATTAAAAAACTAAACTGCTTTTTTTTCTCCAAACACTTGACTTGATTGGAGTTTAATGAACTTTGATCATTTCAAGTATTTCATCGTTTCACAAGTAACTCAGCGAACCTTACATGTGTACAGCACTATTAGCTCAGAGTATATCTGAACACAGCGTTATATGAGGGAAACATGATTGATTAAGGTGTGTTTAGTGATAAT